TAGTCTATATAAATATATACACACGGACATGGGGATACAAATTCCGAAGAAGTTTTGGAGATTTTTTGTTCTAATTTTCGTTTATTTTGCAACAAATAGAATATTTTCTAATAATTTTTAATCATTTTTATTTCTTAAAGGGACTGTAGGCAATGGTAAACTAAAGTTCCTCAGTGAGTCTAAACTTTAGAACCCCTTTTCACCCATAAAGGAATTGAGTCTTTGTCACAAACTCTGATTTTCTAATCTCTATATCTTCACACCCCAACGTTGTAAACCTTAGATATTTCAAACTATGAATTCTATTGGATCAAAGAATCTAAGTTTGAAATACCAAAGATCTACACTATTAGGTTGCACAGATTTAGGGATTAGAAAATTAGAGTTTGTGGCAAAGACTCAATTCCTTTGTATTTTAAATTTTTTTATGTAATTATTAGAGATCAAAATATGTTTTAAAATTTTCCGATACAGACAGAATGCATTTCTAGTTTTACATGAGACGTGGCTCTTAAAAGTGATCCTTGAAAGCTTTGTATGATATCCTTCATCTTATTTCTAAAAATGAATAATTTTGGTTGACGCATTTTTGCTTCAGGCACTGTTGAAGTATCTTGTCAGAGTAAGACACTTTTCAAACTAGAAAAACGACAATATCTACAATTCATACTATTAATTAGAGATAATAAGGATTTAAAGAATGCTGTTGTGAATCTGGATCCTTTAAAGTGCAAAAATTATGCTTGATATTAAATCAATTTAGGAAACATTAAAAAGCATAAAATTGTTGAATAAAAATAAAAAAATAAAAAACAATTAAAATGGAAAACACCCCACATAACAACTTGTAAAGGGATACTGTCTCTAATTGACATAGAAGCCTTAATTTACATCTTGAGATGATCGGAGAGAAAGATATCCTTGACATACTCAACTAGACAGAAGGAGAAGTTAAAGGGGCCGTTCACTTATATGGGTAATTTCATGGTAAACTAAACATCCTATTCGCTGTTGATTGGTATTAGTCTCATTTTTCAAAGACAACTGTGGCCGGAGAAAAAACCGATTTTTCGTTCAGAATTCGAGCGCAACGGCACCTTTGTCAGAAATAGTATATTAGACGTTTTTCAGTGAAGTGAACGGTCCCTTTAAAATTTATCTGACATTACTGCCTACTGGTATACCTTTGTAATCTCTAAGCTCCTCTAGGGCTGAAAACATTTGAAATTTCAATCTCACGTATAATTTACTTTAGTCTGATTTAGTCAGATAATTGACGGTAAACTTTAAATAATTAGAAATTAATGCCAACCTCTCCGCAAATAGAACTATTGTATTTGTAAAGTAGAAGGTAAGAGAAGGTAAACTTCATGCAAAATCACTGATACGGCTTTGCGACCTCATAGCTACTCTAAACTCTATTTTAAGGCCACGTATGTGAAAAGCGAATTTATTAGGTTACATATTTGAAATTAAATTTTTTTTGTGTTTCTCAATACCTCGTTAATAAGTGAAGTTATGATTACGAACATATAAGATTTCAATTTTAAAAATATAGAAGGAAAACCAGTACTGTACACCAAATGAATTATCTCATTTTAGATTAATGTAACCGATCGGGTCCAAATTTTGTGTGGGACCTCACATGACCCCAGGGAAGGGTTATGGGGGATTGAAATTTAAAAAATTAGCCTCCAATAAAATTAGATTTTCATTAAACTTTAAAACTAGCAAGGTATACAAAGAGAAAATTTTCACAATTGATATAGAAGATGAAGCTATAATATTTAAACATTTGCTTTTGTATGGAAAAGTCAGTTTACATAATTTTACTTTTTCCATATTTCTAGATTGGAGTTAAACCCTTTCCTTTCCCCTAAAGTTTCCCCATTTATAACTATCACTTCTGATGGGGAGGGGGTGTAGAGCAGCCAAGGACCCCCCGAAGTGTGAAACTGCCCTCCGTCGCGGAGATGATTTTGATTGGCTAGGAGGTCATTCTAGAGGTCAGTTTGCGGAACACATGGTTGCTCTGCAACATCTCCCTCCTCCTGATTGTGTTTGATGATGAAACTTTTTCATAAATAATATAATATAAAGGTTATTTGTCGTTTATCAATAGATAACTTCTCATTGAATTAATATTAATGAACATGAAGTATGTTCAATAATGTAAAATAAATCAAGAAATAAGAAAAAGATAGTATTTTTGATAATTGACATATATAAGCATAGTAAATCAGTGGTTTATCAAAAAAGAAATGAGAAAACAAATGTAAAAATGTCATAATACATTACAAACACATTAACGAACTTCAGAGTTCAGAATACTATCACGTAATTTTTAGTTACCCTTCATTACAGGGGCGGATACATGGGGGGGCGGCAGGACCTTTGCACCCCCCTGAGATTTCAGAATATCTCCTCAATACCACTCAAGGGAAAGAAACCCTAGTGCAAAACAGGAAAAATATCTATCTTAAAAAAAAATTTTGTTCCTGAATGTGGATGTTTTTGTTCCGAAATAATTCTAGCACCCCCCTCATATAAATCCTGTATCCGCCCCTGCCCTTCAATTTGAAAACCCGATTCACAACGGTAAGCCTTAATCAGATTAATCAGAGTTGGATATTGGAATTTTTCTTTCTGAAAAAGGTATCATTTCACTGAATTCCCTTACTTCACTTAGTTGCATAAGTCCACATGCTACTTTTCTAAAGAACCACTAATGGAAATAATATTCCACTTTTAGAAAGAAAAAATGTTGAACATGAATTGGACATAAAATGAACATGAATTGAACATGAATTGGACATGAATTGGACATGAATTGGACATGAATTGGACATGGGTTGGACATGAATTGGACTTGAATTGGACATGAATTGGACATGAATTGAAAATGAATTGAACATGAATTGGACTTGAATTGGACATGAATTGGACATGAATTGAACATGAATTGAACATGAATTGGACATGAATTGGACATGAATTGAACATGAATTGAACATGAATTGGACATGAATTGGACTTGAATTGGACATGAATTGGACATGAATTGGACATGAATTGGACATGAATTGGACATGAATTGAACATGAATTGAACATGAATTGGACATGAATTGGACATGAATTGAATGAATTGGACATGAATTGGACATGAATTGGACATGAATTGGACATGAATTGGACATGAGTTGGACATGAATTGGACATGAATTGAACACTTTTTATGGTTTTTTGCCTTATTTGAACATCTAGTATTATTTATAGCTTTACTAATTTGATTAAATCCTAAAATTTGTTTTCATTTATGTTAATTAGTTTATGTTGCTCTATCTAATCTAATTAAACAACATACATCTACCAACTTTAATTAAAGGGAATATTTATGATTTAACTAATTTATCAAAAATAATCATATTTTTATCATATTTGAAGATGATTAGAACTTGTCATGTTATGAAACGGCATGAATCTTCAAAAAATACTTGTTTCCCTAAAAATTATTTTCACGGAATCATAGGTCTAAAGGCGGTTAAAATCTAAAATGGTGTGAGCTTTAATGTATTGTATATTTTAGCTTGAAATATATTTATATATGTATATATATATATATATATATATATATATATATATATATATATACATGTGTTTATAAATATATATATTTACAAAATATATTGATGGATTGGGCAGATGCTCCTGAATACACAATATTGTTGACCATAGATATATAGATAGATAGATAGATAGATAGATAAATAGATAGATAGATAGACAAACGTACATATACATTTATGTTAAATAGATTGAGTATGTACAGGGGGGGAGGGGGTACAAAGCAACCATGAGCCCCATTAACTGACCTCCAGTGCCTCCTGATTCGCAGAATGACCTCCAATCATGTATCATGTGTACTAATACTATACTAATCTAACTATAAAGCACAAATTCACAAAACGTAAAAGTTTTCGTGCAATACTGAAATTTTATTGTGTTTTATTATTAAAGTTTTTCACAAAAACAATTATGTTTTGTGAGTTAGTGCTTATATAGTTAGATTCGGTCCTGTGAAATGATTTAAAATTTGTCTACGGTGGTTTGCGATTATTTCAGTACAATGAAGACGACTTTCGATTTCAATTTTTATTTATATCAAGCTTTTAAAGAGCATGGATAAACAAAACATGGAAAGAAAGGGAAGCTTTCAATTAAAAAAGCTTATCTTAAATTAATTATTAACTTGTAATTCGAAAAAAGCTTGCTAACAATTGAAATTTAAATAAAAGTCGTCTTCACTATATTGACATAATCGCCTACCACCGTATCGCTAAATAAAGCTCCAATAGTTATGCACAAGTTTAGGAATTTGTGATATTTAGAAAAACAAAAAAGTCTTAATCTCAATTAATGTGGACTTTATAAGCCAAATTGTTTATGTATTATTAAAAACCTTTTGATCATGTTGAGATTAAAAAAAGGCATTTGGTGGATGTATAAGCCAAATATTTTTCATTGGAGATAAGAATGCTGGACGTGGAGTAAGAGTTGCAGAGGCTTGGAGATGTAGCTTGAGGCACGGAGATGATTTTGACTGGAGGTCATTCTGCGAATCAGAAGGGTCCGGAGGTCAGTTAGTGGGGCTCGTGGTTGCTCTGCAGTCTGCTCCCCCTCTCTTGTACAGTACATGTAGATTATAGTGAAGAAGTTGTACACCTTATAGATATTAATCATAGAAAAATATGATTGATATGGTCCTAAATAGGAACTCTATGACTTACAGGGATAACCAAAAAACTGTGGAATATGAAGACGCAATACTTAGTAACTTGAGTATAAAAGTCGTCTTCCTATTCCAGAGTTTTCTGGTTATCATTGTACTTCATGAGAAGTGTGATTGTTTTAATAATTATTAATTATTTTCAAATTATTTTCATTATACATGGTTATAATAGTCGCAAATAATAAAGAAAATGGAATGAAATGCAAAGATTAATGAAAACATTTATTCACATTTATTGTATATCTGACAATTAGAAGAAAAATTCACATAAATGATAAACTGTGCTAAAAACGAGTAGAAGTAAAGTTCAGTGAGAACCAGATATCTGTAGAATAGGAAGACGACATTAGAGCAATACTAAAGTGCTTTTGATGAAGTTAAAAAGCAAATAGCTTTAGTTGCAAGTTATTAAATCAAGATGTCTGTTTACACTGCACAATTGCTATGTCTCATGTTTATTTAAAGTCATAACTTGAGTTTAAAGTCGAGTTCCTATTCCAGAGATTTCTGGTTCTTACTGTACATTTTGATAAAACACACTTTGTTTAGTTAGGACTAGCTAGAGATGTAGAGATGTAGTAATAATAATATAACAATTACTAAATCTTTCGGCCTTTATATGAGATATTATTTCTAGGTCAACTAACTTGTGCAAAATCCAAATCGGGTTTTTTTCAACATCGAAATTTTCAAAATCTAAGCTCATCAATATTATCTTATTTAATTTTTTATTATAGCCTTACAGTGCACTTAAAGTTTTTATAAATCTCAGTCTAACAATGTCAAAGTTTTACAATTGTGGCAGTTTCTGAAAAATTTATTTGTTAAAAAGATATATTATGTTTAGTAAGTCAGTGCCCTCTCTTATTTTAGGCTCTGGGCTAGACCAATATTGAACCAGTTTTAGCATAAAAAGAATGTAAACTCTTAATATAAACCTCGATTACATTCATTTGAGAATTTCTCCGTCGGGAGCTATATTTTGCAGGAACATGGAGCTTTATTATTTTGCACCAAAATTCCAAAATGGCGGATTTCTAGAATTCTGCGTTAGAATTGCGGATTTTGTATTTTAGATGTTGAGAAATTTTCTTCCAACTTGGCATACATTACATGGATTATTTAATATAAATAATAATGAAGTCTTTTATTTAGATGGACACATTTTTTGCACCTTATATTTATTGAGATTTTCAATGAAAGATTTTGAAGATTTGCTTTAAGAGGTATGAATTTTCCTTAAAATTCCCCCCCCCCTCTCCCGTCAATGTTCTTCCCCCTTAAAAATATCATTTTTGACATAAATCAGCTGTAGTAATAAATCTAACAATTTTAAATGATTTTTTTTGTGATTAAATATTAAAAAACTATTAATGATTTCAGGGGAAAGGGGGGATTTATGGAAAATTGAGATCTCTGCAGGGTTTGAAATTGCGCATTTCACAGCCTTTTGCAATTTTTCGGATTTCATATTTCTTTCAATATTGTTGAAATCCTGAATCTTTTGTAGTTTTTTTTTAAATCAGAATACATAACAACACTTTGTAGAAAGATCCTAAATTACTAAATATAAGTCAATGATGAATCAGATCTTTTTGTTATTATACTATTATGGCTGTTTATTATAAATGTTAATTTCTAACCGTATAATCGGCAGACTATTTGAATGCATTTAACTTCTTTTCCCAAACAACCGATATCATTATCAGCTGCTTTTTTCACATCGCAAATCAGCCATTGTAACTCACTTTCAGCTGATTTGAAGTTATGAAATTGAGCTGATGATATTTACCAAAATTAATTACGTATCCGCTGATATTCTTTATCAGTTATGAAACATTTTAGATATTTATCAGCCGATTGACCATACATATAAATAGGGTCATCTTTTGACCACACAAATATGTAAAACTCCCATAGAACCTGACTGCAATGAAAAGTTGCATCAATTTTCAAGACTGGGTCGGCATTCAAGTGTTGTAACCCTTTCGTCTTTGATTTTAATTCACTAATTCACTTAAACTGTTTTTGTAACCCTAGACATATAGATTTAAAACCTTTAAGCCTTACTTTTTATGAAGTTTTAATTGGCAAAATTCTCGCTAATTTTTGCGTGAATGTTTGTAACCTTTTGATCACTGTGATATATGTACATTGTACAATTTACATAATATTCTAGAAAACAACTGGTATTCACTTTATTTCACGTGGTAACAGTAAATCACTTATTGCTTTCTACATTTGTGCTTTGTTCTTGTTTTTGTTTTTGTTTTCATTTAAACCATCTGAAGGGAAGCAACGCTGTGGTTTGCACCGGTCAGAGGGGCGTATACATTGTTAGAACTAGTTCTATACTGTCCTAGCAGCATGTGATGCCCACCACTGTTCACCTAAATAATATTAAAATGTTATTTTACATTAGATATTATTCTATGAATAAAAAGAAAAAGACTTCATTATAAAAATTATAAAATTACAAAATTAAAAGCCTCTTTTCTAAATAATGTTTACTGTTACGAATAAGAATCCTGTGCACGTAAAACTAAGTTTACAAATTTAAATCCTGTGCACACCAAACTATGTTTACAAAGTAGAATCTTGTGCTCGCCAAACTTTTATCTTTAAAAAGTAGAATATTGTGCACACCGAACTATGTTTACAAAGTAAAACCATGTGCACGCCGAGCTATGTTTACTAGGCAGAGTCTTGTGCACGCCAAGCTATTCTTAAACGGTAGAATCTTGTGCACGCCGAACTATGAATACTAAGTAAAACCCAGTGCACGCCGAACTATATTTACCAATTAGAACCCTGTGCATGCTGAACTATGTTCACAAAGATGAATCCTGTGCACGCCGAACTAAGATTACCTGAACTGAGAAAGGATGTGAATATCCTGGTTGCTGGCTCAGACTAGTAGAACCTGTATTATTACTCGGACCTAAAGTATATTTTATCTTCATTATTATTTAATTATTATTTTTATCAATATTTTTATTATTATTCTCTTTCGTAACTATTATTATTACTATGCTGTGCTGTATTGTATTGTATTAAACTGTACTGTACTGTACTGTACTGTACTGTACTGTACTACACTGCACTGCACTGCACTGCACTGCACTGCACTGCACTGCACTGCACTGCACTGCACTGCAATGCATTGCACTGCACTGCACTGTACTGTACTGTACTGAACTGTACTGTATTGTACTGTACTGTACTGAAATATACTGTACTGTACTGTACTGTACTGTACTGTACTGTACTGTACTGTACTGTACTGTACTGTACTGTACAGTGTACTGTACCTGTACTTGAATGCTGTGAATTGGAATGTTCTGACTGTCCACATTGTGAATTACTATGAGTACTCTGATATCCGCAGCTCATTCCCTCCCATTGTCTTAGTCTGCCAGCAATCTCTAAATAAATAAAACAAAATCAGATATTCAAAAAACCTTCCAATGTGTGATTTTTCGGGCTTCCGGGATGTGGGAGATTTATTTGTTATGATGTTTTTAAATCGAAAGATTATGAAGGGTGGATTTAGGAAGGAATTTTATTATGGTAATTTTGAGGAAATATCTAGTTCACCTGCTGCCATCAATTACAAAATTTCATTTTAATTTCAAAACATACTTTCATCGAAATCTTTGCGAGCAAGTAAACAAGTAAACAAGTAAACAAGTAAACAAGTAAACAAGTAAACAAGTAAACAAGTAAACAAATAAACAAGTAAACAAGTAAACACCTGTAAAAGTTGGTCTCCTACTAGGAATCTCGTGCCAGCATTCTACCATGAAAGCATACATCCTACTCGGGCACTCATCAGGGCAGGGGAGCAGCTGACGAGTTCTTATCATCTCTATAACCTCCTGGTTACTGTATCCATAGTATGGCTAAAATACAGTATATAGTTAATAAAATGTACTCATAGTATGGCTGCAATATGCAGGTTCATAGTTAATAAATGTACGCAAAGTAAGACTGCATGAAAGTAAATAGTTAATTCATTGTACCCGTAGTACAGCTACAATTTAGTATGTAGATAAAGAAATGTACCCGTATGAAGGCTGCAATATGGTACATAGATAATTAAATGTACCTTTGGTACCGCTGCACTATGGTACATATAGTTAATTTATTGTACCCGTATTACGACTGCAATATGGTACATAATTAATAAAATTTACATGTAGTATGGCTACAATACAGTATATAGTTAATTAATTGTACCCTCAGTACAGCTGCAATATAGTACATAGTTAATTAGATGTACCCGTAGTACGACTGCAACAAGTACAATTATAGAACTTCTGCAATATGGTACATATAGGTAATTTAGTGTACCCGTAGTAAGGCTGCCATGGCGTACATAATTAATTCACTGTACCCTTAGTACAGCTGCAATACAGTACATTGGTAATTAAATGTACACATAGAACAGCTGCATTACGGTACAAGGAAAATTGTTCTTTTAACGAGAATATTTCAAGAAAATACATCTGTAAAGTATTGAGCATGGAAGGAAATGTGCTGATGTAAAACTAATCTAAGTAAAAGGAAGAAAACCGTTCAGACAAAATAAAAAACTTTTCTCCATTAAGTCAGTGACAGATATAAATTGCAATAAAGTTGATGATAAAAAAGTGCCTCTTTCCTTAGCCTCCACTCTTCTCATTATTGAAAAGTGAGATACAAAACAACTAAAATATATAGAACGCTTTGACACACAAAATGAACATATGTGCTCTTTGACAGTTTTATAACAATATTGTGATCATCAAGGTATCTATCTATCTTCTATTTCTCCCCTATTCTCTTTAATGTTATAATTAAAGAATTAAAGAAGTTTGCTCTAGTTTTATAATAATGGAATTATTGGAGAACGAACCAACAGTTTCCCCCATAGTGTGACGTACAGGGGTTTATATTTTGTTAAAACATCCTCCCCCTGGACAAAAAAAGTTTTTTACGCTGAAATGTAAAAAATAAAAAGGGAAATATCTATAATTTAAAATTGAAATTTGTAGGACGTAAATTTTTATTTGATGGTTTTTTCTCAAAAAATCAATAATTCTTGCCAAATTTAAAAAAAAAATTTTAGATAAGATTTTTACCTGAAGTCCGTAGCTGTATATTTCCCAAAGTAGAACTCCGTATGCCCAAACATCAGATTCTGTGCAGAACTTTCCAAAGAAAATACTTTCCGGGGGCATCCATCTCAGTGGTACCAGGCTCTTACTCTGCATCCTAAATTAACATTTTTTAAAAACAAAAAATCTTTTATAAAAATCAAATTGATCACAAGAATCATGAAATAGTTCATGTCTGGTAAAATACTTTAAATTTTTAAAAGAAAAGAATTTCTTCATATATCGATGTTTACTCTTTCGTGTAAAAAGTCTGTTGTATGCCTTAATTTCAGGTGACTCTCCATTTACAAAGTGACATTTCCGATTTGCATAGGTACCTTCAAAAGCGATTTCAGGATTTAAGATAGGGGAAGGGAGGGGGGGTAAAAAAATATATTCAAGCAAAGCGTAAACCAAATTTTTGTACTCCCCCCCCATATTAGTTTTACCCCACCTGTAATCTTATAAAACGAAATTCCCCCCCCCCAACCCCTCTATTGCTAAAAAGTTCTATTTACCACCCTAACCCTACAAAAATTACAGTTTCTTTATAGTATAGGGTAGACAAATGAGATCCATTTATTTATATAAAAACAAAATAAAATAGTATTTATTTAAATTTATACATTAACATTATACATATCATATCATATTATTCTAATGAAGGGAGAATTATTTTAAATTTTCTGCTATTATTCTTGCTAATTTTTCTTGCAGGAGACTGCAAGTAGTTTTCAAGTTTATTTTTATAGTTAAAAATAACCAAAAGAAGGCTGCGTGTAAAAAAAAGATTTTTTGTTCAAAATAAAAAAAAATTTCAAATAACCTCCTATATTACAATCTAAAATAATTTAGTTTTAGTTTCAGAGGTCGATAAAAATTTGATAAGTTTTGACTAATTTTATGGAGGAGGATATATATATGTTCATTTTTACAATGTTGTCACTTTCAAGTAAACTTAATTATGAAAATTAAAGTTTAAATGAGAAAAAATTTGTAAAAATCCCCCCCATAATTTCACTCAGGGGAGGGTAATGGACTGCCCCACCTGAAACCGCCTATGGGTACCTTTTAAAGCTTTGTCTGGTTAAATATAAAGGAGATATCCATCTTTTTCTACTATTGATCATTTAAAGGTGTAAAGAGTGAATTGGACATTCTTTAAATGGAGCGTAAGTTGCAATGACAATGACAGTCCCCTTCAGTGTATTTAACACACAAAAAGAAAACAACTTTATCTTTACCTGTAATAGTCCGCAGCATATTTCTCCCTTGAAAGTCCAAAATCTGATATTTTAACAATCAGGTTGTGTCCAATTAAACAGTTTCTAGCGGCCAGATCCCTGATTAGTTAAGGTTTTTAAACTTTATTACCATCAGATAATTGATTAAAATTAAAAAATGTGTAACAGAGGCACATAACCCTGCATTCAAGGTATATTATTTTTTTTAAAAGAAAAACATAGGGATGAAAAATATCTGGAACGTAATAGTATTGACTATTGTAAATGTTAGAAGTATCTTAAAATGCTAAAAAATATCTGGAAATGAATACTAGGGTGTTTAACCTGTGAATGAACTGATGTTGTGCTAAGTACTCCATACCGCTAGCAATCTGTATAGCAAGATAGGACATATCTCCATGATCCATCACCCTGTAGAGTCATAGATAAATATTATTAACAGATCTGAATCATTAACATTAACTAACTCGCTAGCCCCTTGCTCACACTATCTAATTAGCTCACTAACTGAATAGTCCCCTGCTAACATTATCTAATTAGCTAACTAATTGAATAGCCTCTTGCTAACACTATCTAATTAGCTAACTAATTGAATAGCCCCTTGCTAACACTATCTAATTAGCTCACTAACTGAATAGTCCCTTGCTAACACTATCTAATTAGCTCACTAACTGAATAGTCCCTCGCCAACACTATCTAATTAGCTAACTATTACTCAATAGCCCCTTGCTCAAACTATCTAAGTAAAGTACATAGATCACTAGCTGAATAGCCTCTTGATAACACCATCTAATTAGCTAGTAAAAATTCTCAAGCTCTTGCTAACACTATCTAATTAGCTTACTAACTCCTAGCCCTTTGATAACACAATCATAATTAGCTAACTATAAACTCAATAGCCCCTTACTCAAACTATCCAATTTATTACTAACTAACTAGCCCATTTACTCGCTCTTTCTTAAAAACTTACTTACTCAGTATCCTTTTAGCTTACAAGTCATTAGCTCACTATTTTAGTAACTCACTATTTCCTTAGCTCACTAGCTGAATGACTCCATACTAGGGTTTAAAGCTGAGTAAAATAATCTTTGCGCAGATGTTTTGTTCGGCCTCAATTTCCGCATTTTTGCACATTCCTTACCTTTTAAAAACTAGCAAAATTTCTGCTTTTTGCGCGTTAATCTGTTTTACGTAAAAATGCGGTATTTGCGCGGAACAATGAGTGTGCAAATGCCGCGAAAAATTTTCAAAATCCACTCAATAGCTTACTCGATTGCAAAATCACTAGCTTTCTAACTCGTTAATTCACTAGCTGATTATTAAACTGACCTATCTGACCCGGAGCTGCTGTGAACAGATGACAGCGCTATCTCTGATTTAGGACTGTGCGTTAACAGATATTCATGTAGGTCACCCTGTCCCAGGCATTCAAAGATCAAACATCTAAATTAAAAAATTTCATATTTTTGGGAAACTTTATTATAACTGAGTAAAAACACTGAGGGAAAAATATTTGTTCATGAAATTTACTCTCCTTGGTTTACAACCTGACGATGTAAGAGTTTGAAGAGATTTTATTTAGATATATTTTGAGAAAAAAGAGAAGGTCTTAATAATAGACATTATTTCAGTAACAGATAAAAAATAAGAAATTTATGTTATTTTAGCTTAAATAATTATTTCACCCTGGACTAACCAGGGCTAATTGTATTCGGTTTCTTTAAATTAAATTCAAATTATAGTTCTCTAGAATTCAGCCACCTTAAAACTGACAGAGTTATCTTATTCTATTTGTTATTCAAAACGTATATAACAGAAAAAAATGAAGTTTAGGATCGACAGTGACAGCTTCCTGGTTAGTACTAATTCCAAATCGTTAAATCAGTTTTTTGTATAATCTAAAAGTGTACCTCGGTTCATCCTTAGTAACAACACCAATAAGACAAACTATATTAGGATGACGTAGATCAGCCATCAGCTCGGATTCACGGGTAAACCCTTCCCTGATAATTAATAATAATAATAATAATAATAATGATAATAATAATAATAACTATCTGAAGGGCCCGGCGTTGCCCGTGAAAAAAAAGATTTTTAAAAAATATTTTAACGAGTGTCTACAAAAAAATTTCAGCCCATTCAGTTCAGTTGTTTGGTCGGCCAGAGGGTACATATATATGAATGTCTTGTTTTATTATATAGATGAAGATAATGATAAGAAGATATTTTCGTTTTCATGACTCCAAAAGTATTCAATTTTTCAAAGAAATTGAGTCTTTGGAACAAAATCAAATATTTAAACCACAATATCTTTAGAACTCGATGTTGTAAACCTTTGATATTTCAAACTCAGATTACTTGATCTAACAGAATTCATAGTTTGAAATATCTAAAATATGCAACATTTGGGTCCAAAGATATAGTGATCAGAAAATCAGAGTTTGTGGCAAAGACTCAATTCCTTTTGCAGAGAACCCGCAGGCCACAAATGAAAAACAAAAACTTGGATATCAAATTCGGTGTAAATCTTTGCATGGAGGGCCATTTTAAATTATGCTTACAATCTCTTTAAAAAAAATGTAAACCAAAATAATTCTATAAGTGGTTGTCTACATTTTAAAAATATCAATTGCTCAGTTTTGTATAAAATATATTTAAAATTCCTCTCAGCCCTCATTGTCCAAAGTTTTCTCAGCTCTCTAGAAATTCTATTGAAATTTTTCTCTATCCAAATATATAGAGAGAAACTTTTATTTAATTTTAAAATTGAAATAAAATCTATTTTAATAGAAATATGCAATGTTAATAGTTACTTGAATGTAAGAAAAAAATACAACTAAGAATAGCCTAAAACTTTAATTTTCCAATCCTTATATTTTCGCAATCTGACGGTTTTAACCTTTGTTTATTGAATTTGTGGTAGCAGTATTCATGGTTTGAATTATCAAAGGTCTATGTTCATCAGGTTGCAGAGATATAAAGATTATAAAATTATGGGTTTCGGAGAGTAATCATTTACTTTGAAATCAACTGAAATAAAGTTTGGCACTATTGGAGCTATTTAGACTAAACTCATTTTACCCCCACACTGTTTATATATTTACAATCATACAATGAATTTATTGTAATACATGTAAATATGTCAGAAAGCATGCAGAAAATATATACAAGATTCTAAAACATATAATGCAGTGCCATAAAGGGGGGGGGGTGCGGTGAAATAACATGAAAAAGAGAAAGAGAAGAAATACAGCCAGTTTTAGCCAACGCTAGACCAAATACTATAAAACCCTATGAATGTGCAACGAAAAACACGAAAATATAAAGATCATCTTAAAACAATAAAAGCAAGAATTAGAATAAATTTCAACATGGAAAACCTAAACAACCCCTTTGTTGCTTAATTCGACAAAAGGAAATGAGTTCTTGACACACGCTCAAATTTTCTAATCCCTCTATCTTTGCAACTTGACGGTGTAAACCTTTTATATTTCAAACTCATACTAACAGAAATTATATTTTGAAATATCAGAGGTCTACAACATCAAGTTGCAAAGATATAGGGATTATGAAATCAGAGTTTGCGACAGAAACTCAATTCCTTTAGGGATTAAACATTTAATGTTTCTTATTTTGAAATACGATAGATTTTTTGGAATATTTAAACTGGAGGCATTATTAGCGTGCAAATTGTACTGGTTAATCTACGTATATAAAGTAGTAATCTGTTTTTATCTGTTTTTCTGTTGGTTTCTTGTTTGTTTTTCCCTGTCAGATCATAACTCATGATTCCCTTCACCGATTTGCCTCAAATTTTGATCGGGGAACTTGGGAGCATCACGTAAATGTTCTTGACTTGGTTTTAAAAAATTGACTTTTAGAGAGAAAATTTCAGGCAAAGCTGGGTTTCAAAGCTAGTTTAATATAAAAAGTTTCTAAAAGTTGAAAATCACCTTGTTTGTTGATTTGCTCCAGGTTTTAAAGTTTTAACAGCAACCATTGTAGTTACACCTCCAACTATACCTCCCAGCTCACCCCGGTATACCTATACACAATAGTCTCTGTTAGAACATTCTAACATATTTTTAGTAATATCAAAAGTATTTCGAAATTTCGAACATTTTCTACGATCATAACGTTAGTGTTATAAATATTTGTGAGATTTTTATAACATTTTTTTCATAATAACAACCAAAATGTTTATAAATACAAAATACTTTTTTCTAACAGTGTATAGGATATTATTCAGCACGCTACGCCGCTAATACAAGCATGCAGGTCAGAATTTATGAATGAGAGGGAAATAGCTGAACTAGCTAGTTTAACTGGTTATCGCTATTCATAAATTCCAAATTCACTTGACAAATAGTTCTCAAATCTTTAATATTCTCCCCTCCTTGAAAGACCACTTTTTTAAAACTTCCCCCTCCCCCTCCACCCCCCTGACCTCCCTTATGACCCCCCCTTTCCTTCCTCCTCCTGCACAATCAGTTCATTATATATTCAAATTAGTTTTTCATTATTCATGCCATAATCTATCTATCTATCTATCTATCTATCTATCTATCTATCTATCTATCTATCTATCTATCTATCTATCTATCTATCTCACCTTGCCGAAGACCCCCTCCCCCATCTCCTGTGTGAACCTGACGGCGCTGATCGGAAACTCCCGCGCCACAACCTTCGGCTTTGCTCTGGATACTGAAATATTTATAAGACATTATTTAAATAAATTTTTTTTCATGACCAATTTTAGATTGTTTTTAGTCAGAGTTTACAAGTTTTGTAATCCAAAAAATTTGAAAATTCAACAAAAAATAAGGAGACAAATTCATTAATGTTCTTTGTTCAGATTTAAAGAAAAAAGTTTTTAGAATGCGTTATATCATATCAAGTTTTGAATTGAGGAAAATAATATTTTTAAATTCTTTTATCGCAATAAAAAATAAACTTAGGTAAGAACTTTTGAATTAGTCTTTGAACGTTAGAGTTGAGTGAGACAATAAGAAGAAGGCTTCTGATCTCTGAGTCGAATATGAATATTCATAATCCTGATCGAATTCAAAGAATCCTAAGCCCGCGATTTAAAAGCTTATTTTAATCAAATCCTTCGAATCCGCCAAATATAATATTAAACAGGTTTAATAAACCCAACTTTACAATATTAAACAGGTTTAATAAACCCAACTTTACAATATTAAACAGGTTTAATAAACCCAACTTTACAATATTAAACAGGTTTAATAAACCCAACTTTACAATATTAAACAGGTTTAATAAACCCAACTTTACAGTATTAAACAGGTTTAATAAACCCAACTTTACAATATTAAACAGGTTTAAGAAACCCAACTTTACAATATTAAACAGGTTTAATAAACCCAACTTTACAATATTAAACAGGTTTAATAAACCCCCAACGTTTTGGAGAATTAGTTGCAATAGAAGTCTGAAAGCTCAAGTCTTAAATTAGTCTAAATGACAGGCCTGAGTCTTATTTTTCCGAATTTTTAAAATCGCGGGCTCCCGGATAAATAATTACCTGGAAGCAGGTGATTCATCTCCATCTCTGAATAATTATGATTTGAAGATGTTCCGCTTGGATTTATAAAACTTCTCGGGCTTCCTAGAACATATTTTTATTTGAAAAATCCATTTTTTAAAAAGTTTCCTTCCGCCATTTATCAGAAGGGTAAAACCTTTGGTTGAGCCAGCGCTTACCAAAATGGACTAAATTCTTTATGACCAGAAGCTGAACCTAATATGCAGACATCAACGCACTATGAAAATATACTTCTAACTCTATATTTTCCTGGAAAGGAACTGAGTACGTGCCTCCATATCCAATTGTCTAACCCTTATTTCTTTGCAATTGATATTTCAAACTTTCGTTATTTGTTCAAGCAGAGTTCATATTCTGAAATAACAAAAGTGTACAATATCAGGTTGCAAAGATATGATGTTTAGAAAATTAGAGTTTCAGGCGAGTGATTCGTATAGTTGACCTTAGATTTGACCTCGAAATGACCTCTTCTGACCTGTACTGAGGCTGAGAGGTTTCTTATTGGCCTGCCGAACACAGCAGAGGCCAAGTGTAACGGCTGTGAGGACGAGTGCAACGGAGGCTGGTAGAACTACGTACAACCAGATAGAAAACTCAGAACAGGACGGGATTCCACAGGTCTAAACATAGATTCAGTTAAATTAAAGTAAAATGCACGTTATATTGAAATCTTATATTTTTAATCATACCTCCTTCTATTGTAAAGCTATTGAGGGAAAAACATTGTATTTCTAATATGGAACTTGACAAAGGAATTGAGTCTTCGCCACAAACTCTGATTTTCTAATCCCTATATCTTTTGAACCCAATGTCGTAAACCTTTGATATTTCAAACTTATATTATATGATTTAACAGAGTCTAAAACTAAAGAATGCGCGAATTTTAAGTTCGAGGTTAAAAGTTCTGTAAAATAATGAATAGCTACTTAAATATTTAACTTTCTCAATTTTAAATTTGAATTTCCCGGGAAAAATTTCACCCAATCAGAGAAAAGGATTTATATGGAGAATATTACGTAACCATCGCTAATCAGCTGTTTTAGTTAACTTTTTAATATTTACGTATCGTCGATTTCGGCGAGTTAAATATTTAACCACAGGTTTAAATATTTAACCTCACGGTTAAAGTTCGGGTTTAAATTAAGTCAGAAGTGGCATTTAACTATGAACTTAAAATTTAAGTCAAAACTTTTCGTTCTTTAGTTTTGGACTCAGAAGTCATAGTTTGAAATGTCAAAGGTTTAACGAGGTTGGAATCCAAAGATATAGGGATTAGAAAATCAGAGTTGGTGGCAAACACTCAATTCCTTTGTTTTCTCATACTAGGCGTAATTTCACATCAAAAGAAGCTTCGAGGTTGCAAACTCATACCAGTGAGTTTCTGAATCTCACAGCATAATGAAAACAATATCAAAACTGCAGAAAGTTTCAAAGAATAATTATCGAAAACTGGAAACTATTTTTGAATTGTTTGAAAATTCTTAATATAAGGAATTTAATTTTTTGTGTCATACTCAAATTTTCTAATTCCTATATCTTTGCAACCCGACGGTAAACACCTTTGATATTTTAATCTCAGACTAATTACAGAATGTATAGCTTGAAATAATCAAAGGTCCACAACAACAAGCGGCAAAGATATAGGGGTTAGAAAATCATAGATTGGAGCAAAAACTAATTTTCAAATTCAAGAAAGACATAAATTTTAATGCAATTTTGAAGATTCATTTTTTTGCTAATTTTCTTAAAATCTTATTGCTTTCTTTTCCCCCTTGTATTCTATATATTTATGTAATCACCTTATATAATCAATTATAGATATTCTTGAATACTATCCGATATATAATATATACGTATACTTAATTATTTTCAAATTATATATATATATATGATTATTGCTACTGCATATATGTAAATATATGCATGTATTGTAAATATACGATATATATATACTGAACAAAGCTTGACAAATATATTGGTAAATGTCTATTTGTCTGTCTATCTATCTATCTATCTATCTATCTATCTATCTATCTATCTATCTATCTATCTATCTATCTATCTATCTATCTATCTCTGAAGTAGATATACACTATACATACTGCATACCTACTTTATAGGAAAAAGGAACAATGAGAATAGTTAGTATGCTGTCTACACACTACACAACACTGTACACAATCAAATACATTTGTTCTTTTCCTGTCACCTCCCCCATTCACCCCCCCCTATATATCAAGGTGACGTGGCAGGAATCTGATGTTCATCTTGCCGCGTCCGAGTATCCGGCTTCAGCCTCTTCATCTTGAGTCGTCTTCCGCCACATAATCATTATTTTTATCAGTGCTGTAGTCAAATAAAACAAAAATGTCTTAAATTGATGAAGCAAAAAGGGCGACAAATAATACATTTAACTGTTTTATATTCTTATTATTCTTAATCTGTTTAGTCTATTTAATTTATTTAATCAGATTAATCTATTTAATCTGTTTAATCTGTTTAATCTGTTTAATCTATTTAATTTATTTAATATGTTTAATATGTTTAATCTGTTTAATCTGTTTAATCTGTTTAATCTGTTTAATCTGTTTAATCTGTTTAATCTGTTTAATGTGTTTAATGTGTTTAATGTGTTTAATCTGTTTAATCTGTTTAATCTGTTTAATCTGTTTAATCTGTTATAAAGTTAGAATTAAGGACATCAAAACTATAAAACAAAGCCTGAGGCAGTTTATTTTATATAAATATATTTGACTTGTAATTTGTATGTTTGTATCCAGTAAACATCAAAAGGTTATACCCATCGTGACAAACATTTTTTGTGGAAATTTAAAAGACCCCAGTGAAGGCCAGAATGAAAAAAATCGATTCATCTTTTAATTAATTATTTATAACACTGTTATTTTGGTTTGCAGTGTTATATAGTTCAAAAACTGTAAAGCACGTCGTGCCAAAATAATTGTGTTATAGATAATTTTATAAAACGTTTGTGTACTTATCTTATTTCAATGGCTATTTCTAGATCAAATAAGCTTTGAAACAAAGCAGAAGTCAAAATATAAAGTTGATTTCAATTTTATTTTCATTTCAAATGAAAAAAAACATTTTGGAAGTATTCTAATTTTTTTGGAAAAAGTCCGGGATCCAATCAAAACTTTATAACACACGTGCTATAATGTACAGCTAATTTAACTTAATAGCACGATGCTTACTTTATAGCACTTTTATTATGAAATTAATTAATGCAAACCTGCAAATTTGATTTTTAAATTTATGATGTACGAAGAAAAATCAAAACACGGAAACAACATTTAAAAGCTAAAATTAATGGTAAAAATATTTACGCGAAGGGATTAAAAAATGTATTATATGTGTAATTAATGACTGAACATTTATTTTTTCATTAAGATTCGTAATTAGCTACATTTTGTTTCAAACAAACCATAGGAAAATTTAATGTTCAATATTTGGTTAAAAGTATCCATTGGTCTACATAATCATATATTGCAAATGTATGTTATATGAGTTTTTTTGGTTGCAAAATGTTTCCCCATGAACTATGTTTTCAGCTGTTTTTCAGTCTTGTTTTTTCGTTTGCTTATTAATGATTTTGTATTTTATAATTTTAAAGAATTTTAGAAACCTCAAATTTTTTAAATTGAATAAAAAATTTCAAAAATGTCCAAAATCGTTAATATTGGTACAAAGTAACAAAATTTAGGCTCTAGCTACCAATACGGGTTTCTTGAGACATCTTGTAGAGTCCGTTATCTTAAATAAAATGTATATGTTAGGTGTCATGTCAGCCTGGGATCAGATATGAAGGAAAAATTAACGGTCCCGCCTTTTATTTAATAAAAAACGCAAATTGAGTTAAAAAGGGGTATATACTATATAGGAAAGAAAAATGATGTTAAAATCAAGAATTGGTTTGCACTACGGTGATCCAGGTGTCCTGATTTAAAAATCACTTTTAATCAAAGAGAATAGAATATATATTAGATGGGAATTTACTAGAAAAAAGTGTAAAACGGCCATTTTGTCGTACTGTTTCCATACTGCAGGTGTACTTCACATATTTATGCTATATAACCTTTTGGGGCCTGGAATATCATTTTATAGAAAATCTAAAAATAATGTTAAAAGAAAACCAAATTATGAAATAGGCTGGTTTCATAATTGGCCAATGATCATTTCACATAGACTCCATGCCTTTGACTTTACAAACGATGATTTTCCGTTATAACTATAAATCAAATGATGGTTTTTATTCACCTAATTCATAATAAAGTTTATTTAACAGCTTCAAAAATTTCGAAATTGAAATAAATAGTCTAGGGAACATATTGTATTAATGTACTCTACTGCACATAATTTGTGAACATTTACATGATTTGTACACTTTGAACTCCTTTTCAGGCTGAAAGGGACTGAAAAAATTCATACCGAGAGATTCTTTAAATTCCTCTCTAATATATATTCTATTCTCTATGCTTTTAATTCAATTTTAAGATTTTGTCTTTTCATACTTTTTGTATCATGCTTTTTGAATTCTTAAGTGTTAAAAGTATAAAAAATACTATAACGCTTCGTTTAACGTTAATTTCGCTAAATTCACCAAAATTTGCTCTGTGGTGAAAATATTAGATCTAATTAGAAATAGAACCAATCGGATAATAATTTGTTTTAACTTTAATTTTCAGAACCACATTTATTATTTATTGAAAATTATGTAAGTGTAACTAATTGTAAACTCTTGAACCCTGGCATATTATGTATAATAAAATTAAATTAAAAGAAGAAAGTAAACACTAATATCAAACCCCTTGATAGCATCAAAGAAATTATATAAAATCTTTTCCAGATTTATCTGATCTCATTTGATTTTTACTGCTTCACAGAATCTTTATGGGGTTGTTCTTTAACACAAGAGAACAAGAAGAATTCTTAAAAAGAAAAGGTGCAGGAGTAGGGTACAAAGCTGCAAGAAAAAGTGGGGTTTGTAATTCATTAAATCGACGAAAGCTGGTTAAATAAAACAGGGGTCGGTTTTGAATAAACTCTAATTTTCTAATCTCTATATTTTGTGCAACCCATGGTCCAAAGCTTGTGTCTGTATAATCTAGCAAACTTTATAGTTTGAAATATCAGAGGTCTACAACGTCAAGTTGCAAAGATAAGGTTTAGCAAATAAGAGTTTAAAGGGACTGTAAGCGTAATTTCAAGTGGCCCTCGATGCAAAGATGGCAATGCTTGATTAACAACGGTACTCTGGAAACCTTTATTTTTTCAAAAATGTGAAAGATAACATCGATTTCATTTCTCGAAAAGTATTTCAGTCTGATAGGAAGCTCAGAAGCAAATAAAAATAAACAGTTAAACAAACAAAGACATATAATTCATACTTGATCAGCTAAACAAAACGTTTAAAGGTACTGTTGTAAATCGGGTATTGCCAAGCCATTTTTAAATTAAGCTTAAGTTTATTTTGAGGGTAGAATTTAGTTTCTTTGGTGGAAAAAAAGATTGTTCGACGGAAGAATTTAATCTGTTATAAAGTTAGAATTAAGGACATCAAAACTATAAAACAAAGCCTGAGGCAGTTTATTTTATATAAATATATTTGACTTGTAATTTTACCTTGTATATATATATATATATATATATATACATATATGAGCGAATAGGTTTAGTATATAGATTTACTTATTTATTAACGCCATATTTGTACCCTTCTGCATTGCATGATTTTTGCATGGATTTCGCAAACTTTGGAATTAGGTGTGACAGGGAAAAATTATTGAATCATAAGAATCTAGAAAGTATGATAAGAATATTCTAATTATTTAAACATGGAATATTACCATATATTACGCCGCACATAATACAATTTACAATAAACAGGGCTACTCACGGACGAGACTCTAAATACGATCCAAGTCTATAAAATATGACGATTTAAAGCTTGATTTTTGAGTTCTGACTAAATGATAAAGCAGAGAAATGAGCCAGTTTAATTCTGCAAGGAACCCTGAATATAAGGAAAGTGACTTAAACAAAAACCGTACAGTCGTCTCTGAAGTCTCATTCTTTGTTAGTAACCCCTGTACGTTGTACACCTTCCCTTATATCATACACAAAACACACACAAAATTTACACTATAAATGTACAAACGTACAAGGAACGCTGTACATCTAATTAACACTTTACATTGTACAGGGTACAAGATACACTGTAGACCAAACGCTTTGAATCTGTCTTTGTGTCTTTAAAATCGTCATTCCGTGTAACCATTAACAGTGGACTGCACTTGTACATAAAAATACTGTGCAAGAAGTACTGTACAATAAACTGAAACTACGCGATAAACTATAAAACGTTTAATCTTTCACTAAAAATCTTAAAATCGTCTTTGTGTCTTCGTATCGTCTTTTCGTTCTACCTCTTTTGGTAGAGATGGATCGTCCGTGTAGCACCAGGGTTCGTCCAGCTCCTCTGAACCACTAGGATTACGGCAGTAGTTGTGCCCACCTGAATAGTATCATTATTATCATTGTTATTATTAAATACTAAACAAATGAGTATCTCTTATACTTGACTGAAGTTGTTGCATATTGTTATCATCATGAAGATATACAGTGAGGCCCATTAAACTGTGGAGTAGGAAGACGACAATTTTATCTGTATTTAATGTTGTTAGAAAGGAAATGATAATTGTTATGATGATAATTCTAATGTTTACCTACTAACTCTAGATGGTTTGGTATTGATTTAATGGTCAGTTGCTCTGCCCAGGGTTTACAGGTCAACCCAGACCTGAATAGATAATAGGTTATCTGTCCATCTATCTATTTATCTATCTATATATATATCTATCTATCTATCTACCTTGTCATGCTATGAGTTCCCCTGTAGTCCCCCCCTGTCCCTTTGTAGCAGCTGTGTGGTTGAATAAGTTGACCGATGTTAGGTATTTCTAATCTTACACAATTGTGGGCATCCCTGTACAAACACAAATCAGATAAAATAAATAAATGTTTTTATATCCCATGGGGCCGCAACAATATCTTTAAAATAAGAAGAAATAACAATTTCTGTTCTCAGAGACGATTAATCATACATTTAAGAATATTAAAGCAAAAAAATAAGTTAGGACTAAAAAATATTAAAGTGGCTTGCTGGGACAATAAATTGATGTGAGTCCAAATTTAATGAATTTAAACTGCCTGCCGCTGGTTCATATTTAAATCAGCGAATCAAATCCATCTTTATCTTTAACTTTGAATCGGTGGTTCAAATTTGAATTGGCAGTTGGCAGTTCAGCGACTTAATTTCAAAATGTCAAAACTTTACAAGGTTTACCGGTAATCTAAATTTTTCGAAGATTTTCTGATTTATAATTGATTTACTGATTTATTGATTTATTGATTTATGTGTTTCCTTGATCCGATTGGTGGTAGCTCTGTACACTCTGGTAGACCCATCTGGTGGCCGATCATTGGATGAGATTTAGCGATCGCTAGTTCAGTTCTACAGATATCATTCTCTAACACATCACATTCATCCCTAGAATATATATACATTCATCATTCATCCCTAAAATATATACATATATATTCATTCATTCACTCATCCCTAGAATATATATTCATCCTTTCATTCTTTCTTTCATCCTTCCTTATAATGTATATTCATCCTTTCAATCATCATTTGTTTCTGGAATATACAGTCATTCATTTCTATTTATTTCTGGAATACACAATCATTGATTTTTCGACATTTCAAAAAACGTTTCTGATCTTGCTGGTCTAATTAAAAAGATTATAATTTTGTAGAAAACATTGGTTTTGATTATAGTTTTGTTGTATCTAAACATTTATATTTGAGTTTTTATCTTTTAGCATAGTCATGATTAAACACCAGGGAGGGGGGAAGACGGAAAAGTAAGTGGTCGGCAAACAATGGGCGAGGGGGCCGCCGGGGGGAGATAGAAGAGTGGGAAATGGAACTACTTAGCTAACCTTTAGAGTAAAACAACAAACCATTTTATGCCATATTATTTTGGAGTATCAGGCGTTCCCAGGTCTTAAAAACACTTTGAAGAAAAATATATTTCGAATTTGTTTAGCCTCTCCCACCCCAGGTTTTCCTTTGGGCAGATATATATATATATTCATAAAGGGTTACCCAAAAAGGATGAGACTGTAAGTGTAAAGACGACCTAAAACTCTTGAAATACGACGATCCCCAGGTTATATTGAGTTTTCTGCCTTGAATATAGTCTGTTAATATCTTACTTTATGATTTAGCAAAGAAAGAAAAAAGTTTACAGTTGCAGGGAATCATGAATTTGGAAACAGACAGCAATTATTCCGTACAGTCGTCTCTGAAGTCTTATCATTTATGGATAACCTTGTATATATATATATATATATATATATACATATATGAGCGAATAGGTTTAGTATATAGATTTACTTATTTATTAACGCCATATTTGTACCCTTCTGCATTGCATGATTTTTGCATGGATTTCGCAAACTTTGGAATTAAATGTGCAGAACACGAATCATGAACATTCAACATGTTATTAAATTGTTACAAACTCAACCCAGTCGTAGAAAATTACATTTAAAAATACGTTTCAAAACCAGGCCTTAGTCAAACCATAAAATCAAGTAAAAAAGTATAAAATCTTTTCTAAAACTTTGGCTGTAAAATCAAACTTAAATTCCTTGATTAAAATATGTTTATTTTTAATCCAGTTTGCATGATATTTAATTCGAAACAAAAAGTTAATCACAAACTTTTATGAACTTTCAATGTTTTAATATTAAATTTCATTTGACATTAAATCCTGCCATTCTTTTTTTAATTTAAACCTGTTTATTTTTATCCAATTAGTGTCAGTATCGAACTAGGACTAGGAACATGGAAAGACTACGATTAGAATGTTTTTGATCCAAGTGTTATTCTTGAATTTAAAAAAAATGTGCTTTCCTTAGTTTTGAGATATTTATTCATACATTTTAAGAAAAGGAAAAAATAACATTTTTTTAGGATTTCTTGGCTGATGTGAGTTACCACAAAAATAATTTAAAAAGTAAAATTTCTTCTATCAACTTTTTTTCACTCTTTTTCTTTGTTTGCTTTTATATATTTTAGCAATGTAGATCTAAAATTTCAAAGAGTTGTGCATTTTTTATTAAAAGAAATGCATTTATCAAATTAAATTATCTTATCAAATCCATCAAATCTTTTAACCTTGATAAACAACATTTTTTTGCAACAATTTTTATCATGTCACTTTTCACTTTTTGAATTATCATTATTTAAAATCTGGTGCTGATGAAAGAGATCTCAATATAAAAAGATACTTGCATAAAAAAATGATATTAATATAATTATGCCATATCATTGATACAACCATAAAAGCTATTAAAATCGATTCAAAAGTTTTATTTCAAATTTGAAATATCTAGAAAACCTTGTTTAGGATTTTGGAATTTTTGACTGATTAATTTCTAAATATTTGCCCAAACATGTTAACATATATATCAGTTATGACATTAAAATGGAAAAATCGTGTTTAAGTGACATTTCTTAATTTAAAGAAAAAATCGATTCCCAATTTTCTGACTTTTACTTCATTCTTATCGCTCAAAATGAATGATCTGTGTTTATGTAAAACTCACTCACTCGCTCATTGACTGACTGACTGACTCACTGACTCACTGACTGACTCACTGACTCACTGACTCACTAACTCACTGACTCACTCACTTACTCACTCACTTATTCACTCACTTACTCACCTGCAAAGTTTTCTTGGTTTCTCAGTTCGCAGATCACAGAGTGGGAATGTGCTATGGCAGATTGAAGGTATAGCAAACTCAGCACATCTAGAAATTACAAGGTAAGAATATATTAAAATATTATATGTAAAAACAGTAAAAAATACATAAATTCACCCACCCCCCATATATAAATTAAAGTGTACAATGTACAGTGTACGGTATAGTTTACTGTACATTACACAATTCAGTTTACTGTACAGTGTACAATGACATCGAAACTAATTACGACTTTCTCCATTTATGACAGTTTTACAATTTTTTACACTTGTTTACAACAAATATGTTTTCAGACAGACATGTCAAAAATGTTTTTAAAGAATCTAATTATTATAATTATTCTAATTTTAGAACCAAAAAAACAAAATGTTATCTGCTTTAAAAATTTTATTGGTCACACCCTTTTAAAGGGAACTGAAAACTTGCCATAAACTCTAAATTTATAATCCCTATATCTTTGGAACCTGATGGTGTAAACCTTTGATATTTAAAGCTATGACTATTAGATTTATCAGAATTCATATTTTGACGATGACATCATCAGGCTGCATAGATATCTGGGTAAGAAAATTAGAGTTTGAGACAAGTGTTCAGTTCATTTGTCTGTTTGGGTGTTCGTTTGTTTGTCCGTTTGTCCGTTTGTCTGTTTACTTGTTAGTAATCTGTTCCTAATGTTTTAAGAAACAATATATAAATCTAAAACCTTATTTATTTATTTCATTTAATTGGATTTGTTCCCCCTGTCTTTATTTTTGTTTGTCAGTCTACTTGTCTAGCTGTCAATCTTACTTTCTGTTTGTTTTATTGTCCCGAGGACTGAAATACAGTTAAAGGGGGATTTTAGAGTTGTTTTGGGAAAAATGCCCTTTAACCATATAGATACTCTTTAAATTGTTTTGTTTACCATTTAAAATATACACCCTTTAAATTATTTGTACCCTTTAGAATGCCATTTAAAGTGAATTAAAATGTAATTTCATGTAATTACAAGTAACCCACGAAAAGTTTATGTGTCCGATTTGAAATGGTGCCATTAAAAGCTTTGTCTGATCAAGTATTAATTTTTTATCCATCTTTAAACTGAACTATTTAACATATACAGCCTTTAAAGTATGTATACCCTTTAGGTGCCATTGAAACATTATCTGAACAAGTTTGAATTAGTTATCCATCTTTTTGTTCTGTTTTTTAAACGTTTATTTTAATTTACGGTTTCTCTACAAAATCGCATTTCTTGATTTAATGACATGGAGATATTATCAGAATTAAACACTTTTCAGAAAAACGACAATATTTTCCACATTGATGTTAATCAGATAGAGGTTTCAAGGGTATTGTTCTGAATCAGGCATTTTTTGTTTTTACGTAGGGTCCCCTCAACTTACTTTAGAAAAATAGAACCCTGGAACTAAAATGTCTTGGTTTAGAAAAATAGAACCCTGGAACTAAAATGTTTTGGTTTAGAAAAATAGGACCTTGGAACTAAAATGTCTTGGTTTAGAAAAATAGAACCTTGGAACTAAAATGTCTTGGTTTAGAAAAATAGAACCTTGGAACTAAAATGTTTTGACTTAGAAAAATAGAACCCTGGAACTAAAATGTTTTGATTTAGAAATATAGAACCCTGGAACTAAAATGTCTTGGTTTAGAAAATAGAACCCTGGAACTAAAATGTTTTGATTTAGGATTCAGAATGTTTAAAACTTTAAAAGAATAATTTTCTTACTTCTTAAAATAATAATTGGGTTCAGCAATGCGTTAAACTAAAACGTTCTTTTAACGATTTCAAATATTGCCGACGTCTCCCTTTATATTACCTGGCAGACATATCTGGAGAGGTTGCAATGACCGCAAAGGTAGCAGCTAGCTTCTGCTCAATATAACGCTGCTCAGTGGATACAAATACAAAGCTGCTCCCTAGCACCTAATCAATCAGGCAATCAATCAATCAACCAATCACTCATTCAATAAATAAATTCAATAGATAAATTTGTGAAATAATAAGATAATTAAATCACACTGGCAGGAATCTTTTTAGTAATGTAAGAAAAGTAATGGAATTTTTTTTGTAGAATAAGAAAATGGCCTAATTTGGTCTCATTCCAATTTGAAATTAATGGATAACAAAAACTACCTGAACAGTCCTTTTTAATTATCAAAAAATCTACTAAAAAATATTCAAAGAGTTCAGTTTAATAAGCTGCAGACAAAACATATTTCTGAATCCCCCCCCCACCCGGCCCCCCCATTTCTTACTCTAGGTTTGCTGATCCCAAATCTGCAATAAATATTGTTTACTGTTCAGCTGAATATGGAATAGCGTGACTGTTTGCCGGTTTAGCTGTTAGAGGATCAAGGCATATATTGCATCGTTAATTAAACCATTCCTTTAGACCTGTGAAACTTAGACATGCAATCCATAAAGGGATTGTATGCATAATGTCAAGTGACCCTCCATGCTCGTTTTTCTGAGTATTTCTGTGAGTTTCTCCAGTCATTGCTTCTTTTAAACAAGAAATGCGTAAGTCACTTTCGCAGAGAAACCGAAAATCAAAATAAACAGTTTAAAGAAACATAAACATACTTGATCAGACAAAGCTTTTAACTGTACCGTTATAAATTAGGCATTGCCATCTTTGCATGGAGGGTAACTTGAAAGTACGTTTATACAGTCCCTTTAAACATGGGTTCAATATTTAGGGCGGATCAGAGATAACAAAAATACTTCTGATAACTAACATGAACTTTCTTGATAACTGACTCTTTTGGAAGCTTATGTTTATATTTTATTCCATCCGGATTTTGCAACTGAATACTTTTTTTCTTAAAAATTTTGAAAAATGGCGACCAATGGCAAAACGCTTCTTTTGATTACATTTGACAATTGATATACCTCTAACATTATCCCATTAATACATATCTTAGAGCACGCTGTCCCAATATACTTTCGACATTCTCCATCTAAGACATACCTTAAAGTGCCGACATACTTCCGACATTCTCCCATTAATACATACCTTAGAGCACGCTGTCCCGACATACTTTTGACATTCTCCTTTTGATTCATCAGGTTTAAGACTAGGCAGCTCGTTAGCACTATTTGTTTTAGGATTAGCCAGGCTCTAAAATATTGATATATATTATATATATATGTGAACACCCCTGTTTATTTATTACTAAATATAAATACCCCTGTTTATTTATTGACCGTGTATTCTTGATAAAAATTAATGATCAATTTGTTTGAATAGATAAACAACATGTGTCCTGCAGTTTATCTGATTAGAGCTCACTAACATACTTTTTATTATTATTTGTTCAGGGATAATTTAGGTACAAGGGGCCCTAAACTTAAAGGGTACAAGGGGTAAAAATATTATAGGTACAAGGTGGTTTTCTTATTCAACAACAGCAGTACAAAAGTACAACAGCAAAAATTTGAACTACTCAAATAAAATCAACTGTAGATCAATTGCTAGAAAACTACCTCTCCGGAATTGAACCAATTCAAATTAAACTGTCTAACACTAACAACCCTAGAATTAAACAATTCTAAGTTCGACTCCTAAAATTTGAACAGCCCTAAGATAAACTGCCTAAAACTGAACAGTGCTAAGATAAACTGCCTAAAACTGAACAGTCCTAAGATAAACTGCCTAAAACTGAACAGTCCTAAGATAAACTGCCTAAAACTGAACAGTCCGAAGATAGACTGCCTAAAACTAAACAGCCCTAAGATAAACTGCCTAAAACTGAACAGTCCTAAATCCCTTGAGAAATACGTTAATCCTAAGTTAATTCTAGATCTAACTTCAAATATTTATTAAATCCACAATTTAATCTTCATCCACTCTTCAAACCTATTAGACCCTCCCCCCCCCCACCCCCCTCCACCTTTATGAATTCTATCAGTTAAGTAGCCAACATTGAAAGGCATGCTGTGTAATGTAGATTTATGATTAAAATGAAATATCAAAATTTCAATCTTAAAGAGATAGTCAACGTTTTCTAACTAACGATGATTAATCATGGTTTTGCTGCATTGAATCCAATTCTTAAATTGAATAAACAAAATCATTAATGGCACATTTTCGACGTAGGATCACTTTAAGTTACTTTTCAAGAATTGGAAGCGTAATTTCAAGTGACCCTCTATGCAAAGATGGCAAAGCCCGATACACAACGGTACCCTTTAAAGCTTTGTCTGATAAATCATGAATTAGATATATCCATGTTGATCATTTAAAATCTGATTATTTTCAATTGTGGTTTCTCTTCAAAAGTGACTGGAGCAATTCCACTGCAGTAAAACATAAAGGTACTTTTAACCCTAGAATATCTTCTACATTATTAATCAGATTAGGGTTTCAAGGGTACTATCGTGAATCGGGCATTGCCATCTTTGGATGAAGGGTCACATCAAATTAAACTTACAGTCCCTTTTATAATAAAAATATTCTTGAAGTTTGATGTTTACTTGAAACTAATTAGCTGTTTATAATCCTAATCTATAAACTCTTAAAGTATGACCTATCATCTCTATAGACTAATAAATTTTTACTAAATTAATTTCCCTAGCTGGTTCTATAAAGACGTAGTGTGATGTTAAATTACTTAAATTTGGTTATTCTAAGCAAATGCCTTGATGCAGATATTTTCCTAATTGTTGATGCTAAATAAGTAGTAGTACATTTTTTTTAAATTTTCATTTTTAATCTTGCTAGTTTGTGCGAAATATAAAATTACTTATCTTATATTTTCTAAGTTATGTCTTCAATATGCAATTTTGCTAGTTCGTGGCTGTGCGAAATAAGAAGATGTAGTTAACTATCAAATTACTTATCTTATATTATTCAAAGCTATGCCTTTAATATGCAATCTTGCTAGTTTGTGCGCAATAAGAAGATGTAATAAACTATTAAATTACTTATCTTGTATTATTCTAAGCTATGCTTTTTATATGCAATCTTGCTAGTTGGTGCCTAATAAGAAGATGTAGAAAACTATTAAATTACTTATCTTATATTATTCAAAGCTATGCCTTTAATACGCAATCTTGCTAGTTGGTGCCAAATAAGATTTAGAAAACTATTAAATTACTTATCTTATATTATTCTAAGCTATGCCTTTTATATGCAATCTTGCTAGTTGGTGCCTAATAAGAAGATGTAGAAAACTATTAAATTACTTATCTTATATTATTCTAAGCTATGCCCTTAATATGCAATTTTCCTAGTTGGTGTCAAATAAAAAGATTTAGAAAACTATTAAATTACTTATCTTATATCAAATTATTAACATATTTGCTTTGATATACTTATTGTAATTTTTATCTATTCATATTTTATAATTTTTTTATCCTACTAAGGAGCTATCTTAATGTCTTTGTGTCTGTCTATCTATCTATCTACGTATATTCCTTTATCTGTTTGTCTGTCTATTTTTTCTGTTCATCTTTCTATCGATCTATCTTTCTATCAATCTATCTATATGTCTATCTGCCTATCAATCTATCTATGTGTCTATCTGCCTATCAATCTAACTATGTGTCTATCTGCCTATCAATCTATCTATATGTCTATCTGCCTATCAATCTATCTATATGTCTATCTGCCTATCAATCTATCTATGTGTCTATCTGCCTATCAATCTATCTATATGTCTATCTGCCTATCAATCTATCTATGTGTCTATCTTCCTATCAATCTATCTATGTGTCTATCTGTCATAAATTTGTAGCCATGCCATGTGTCCTTTGTCACAGATCTGAGTAGATTAAAACCAGATCGTCTACAGTCTACAGTCTACAGTCTACAGTCTACAGTCTACAGTCTACAGTCTGCAGTCTACAATCTACAGTCTACAGTCTACAGTCTACAGTCTACAGTCTACAGTCTATAGTCTACATACAGTATACACTCTACAGTCTACAGTCTATAGTCTACATACAGTCTAAAGTCTAAAGTCTAAAGTCTAAAGTCTACAGTCTACAGTCTACAGTCTTCAGTCTACAGTCTACAGTCTACAGCCTACAGTCTACAGACTTTAATCTACCTGCTGGAAATGATCTGGTGATCTACCCTGGAACTCTATATGAGAAGGTAGACCATCTACTCCCTGGCCCATAGAGGAGAACGGATCCTAGAGAGGGACAATCTCACGAAAACAAAGAAATTGTGAGGCCATCTTGTAAAAGCAGGATAAAGATGGTTGGCAATTTCACATAAACAAAGAGATTGGGTGGCAATCGTGCATAAGTCGGATAAAACGGGTTCAAATCTTACATAACCAACCAGATTGGGAGGCAATCTTGAATAAACAGGATATAGATGGGTGGCAATCATATATAACTAAAGAGATTGGGAGGCAATTTTGAATAAACAGGATATAGAGGGGTGGCAATCTCAAATATATAAAGAGAATAGGGGGAAATCTGGAAAAAAGGAGATATTTCGTTGGTAGTCGAATATAACTTAAAAGAATAGGAGGCAATCTGAAACAAAATAAAGATGGGTGGCAATCTCATATAAGAGTGGGAGGCAATTTCGAAAAACAGGAGCTAGATTGAAGATCGGCAATGGAGAGAGCAAAAGGCAACCTCATATATAATGGAATAGAAAGAGGGAAAGCAATCGCACATTAGCATGAGAGAGGGAGGGTAATCTCACCTAATCAAGAGAGAGGAAGGGTAATCTCACTTAATCAAGAGAGAGGAAGGGTAATCTCACTTAATCAAGAGAGAGGAAGGGTAATCTCACTTAATCAAGAGAGAGGAAGGGTCATCTCACTTAATCAAGAGAGGGGGATGGCAATCTGATATGACCAGAAGAGAGATGGGTAAGGCAATTTCACCAGGTGAGGAAACTGTGACAAAGTAACGAGGGAATTGGAAATTAAAATAATTTTTTATCCGAAAATATTTCGTTATCGGTTGATTTTCGACAGTTTTTGCTCCATATTTTCCAATTTAACTTCTAGCCCCGAAGTTGTGTGTAGAGCATGAACTAGCTCGTTAAAAAGAAATCTGATCCTAAGTTCTCAAACTTAAATTCTCCCCCCGCCTCAAAACCGTTCAATAACACACCTTCTCAGCTTCAAACAAAATATTCTAAATTAAATGTAAAAATTAAAATTTACAAAAAATAACAAGTGTGTGCACTTTCAGAGACACAAAATAAAAATTGAAGTTAATTCAATAATTTTGAATTCGAATAAACCATGTTTAATGGAACTTCACATTTTCATGTATAAAGTTTTTACATTCTAAATTTTTCTTCTTAATGAAGAAGATTAATGATTTAATTAATGTTGAATTAATTAATTAAACTAGATTAATTATTAATTATCATAAACGAGGGAGGAGGGAGGAGTGAGATTGAGATATTAATCAAGAACTGGGAGTATTTTTGGAGATTTTTCAAGAGATAAACCAAGGTGTGAAAATCTTTCAAATTCGCCACCCTCTCGCCCCTGGGGGATTTATATAAGGTTATGGGGAAATATTAAAAAAACATTTCATAGAAAGCGACATGAGAAAAATACGAAAAAACGTTTCTTCAGATGAAAAAATGAAAATCCCTTTTATTATCTTGATTAAAAATGAAAATCCCTATGATTATCTTGATTAAAAATGAAAATCCCTATGATTATCTTGATTAAAAATGAAAATCCTTGATTATCTTGATTAAAAAATGAAAATCTCTAAGATTATCTCTGTAATTATCTCTATGATTAACATCTATAAATATATACTCGAATATGAATCTCTATTACTAGATGTAGAGTAAAAGGAGTAAAATATGGAGCTAGATAAATTAAACCCTATTACGCTTAGGAAGCAGATTAGAGGGGGGGGGGAGACTGGAGGGATGAGGGGGTTGGAGGGAAAAGGGGGGAGGTTGATCTATTTGGATGAGGGAAGGGGGGTTATGGAAGGAGTGGGGGAGATTTTTGGAGATCCCTCAATGGGTAGATTTTGTATAAAAAGTATTCGCACACACACATATTAGTTTCTCATTCACAATTCTAGGTTTTGAGTGCAGTGCGTAAAAACAAGCACAATATTTGATAATTGATAAAACTATATAATACTAAGAATACTTATATTTTGCAATTAATAGTTGCAGAAGTGGGTGTGCTAGGCTGGGGTGAAAAATTTAATGTTTAGTGAGACTATGCCTCGAAGCTAGCTGGAAGATGTAGATAGTCTGTATCCTCATCTTGACGAAACTTCCCTGATCCTAACACAACCTAGAAAAAGACACTTCAAACTAAACTAAATTATAAAATTGAAATCTTGAATGTTTTTTTTTTAAACTTCATTTATTAAAGAGCAGTAATCGTACCCATTGAGGAATAACTAAAATTAAGATATTAATTAATAATCCTCAAATTAAACGTGCCCACAGTGGATATCAAGATCGGTGTTACAAGTATCCAACACATAAGTTTCCAGCTCTGAATGTTCAATTGTTGGTTGAGAACAAACCGATTCGTAAATTTAACAAAGGCATTGACAACGTCCCAGTCCAAGTCAAAACTGTGATATTTACAATGATTGCGACCTTCATAACTTGTTCAATGATTGCGACCTTCATAAGTTGTTCAATGATTGCGACCTTCATAACTTGTACAATGATTGCGACCTTCATAACTTGTACAATGATTGCGACCTTCATAACTTGTACAATGATTGCGACCTTCATAACTTGTACAATAATTGCGACCTTCATAACTTGTACAATGATTGCGACCTTCATAAATTGTTCAAAGATACTGATACAGAAATATTATTTATGACAAACAAAAAATAAAAATAAAACTATGCAGTGAAACCCTTAATAACAAATACATCGGAAGAATTTATCAAATGTCGTCTTGACAATTTTTCAATGAGTTTTATACTATATTACGTAAATTTCAGTATTTGCGAAAATAAAAAATAGCCATAAATATGCGGGAACAGTTTTAAAGAGTTCCAAATAGTCATTTAATTAAAAAACTAAATATCTGCAACATTCCATTATCAGAAAGTGAAGAATACGACATTTGAAGAATTCTTTCGATGTATTCTTTATTAAGGGTTTCACTATATAAAAATTAATTTATTACTGGCTGTGTATTTTCATTACCTTTAATACTGAAGTAGATTTTATAATATCTTTCCCATTATCTGCCTCACATCTATAGTAACCAGTATCCAGGGTCTCAACCTTACAGATAGATAGATAGATAGATAGATAGATAGTAAAATAAAACAATAATACCTCTCTAAATTTCAGCAGCGAAGACTGTAAACTTTGTTTTAATTCGTTTTTAATTCTTAGTCTCCCCTGCTCTTCGATTAGAGGTGCTTCGTTTTTAAACCATCTACGCGGAGTTGATATTCTTTTTGGGCAATGAATGAGTACAAAAAAATCAATTTCATCAAAAGATATTTTTTGAGGTCAAGTGGTGGAATAATTTGGAAGAAATTTCAAGTGACCTTCCCTTTTAGAAGTGGCATGTACGATACACAACGGTACCCTGAAGGAAGGAAGGTATAGAATTTACCACTTTTCAAGTTTTTAAAAAACGACAATATCTTCCACATTATTGATTAAATAAAAGTTTTTTAAAGTGAACCGTTGTGAATCGATCGGGCATGCACCTCTGTATATAATGGTCGCTTGAAATATTTGGGAGAAAGTATAAACTGTGTTTATTTTGTTTTCTGCACAGTGCATATCTTTGCACAAATTGCAGTCTCGCTGAGCCCTGGAATTCAATTGAGTAATTTTTGGGCCCTGGAATATTCTTATTTGTTTTAATGCTTGTTGTATGTAGTGCAGTAGATCCAGTTTAGAATATTGTGTTGCAGACCCAGTTTAGCATATAGTGTAGCAGACCCAGTTTAGAATATAGTGTAGCAGACCCAGTTTAGAATATAGTGGCAGACCTAATTTAGAATATGGTGTAGCAGACCCAGTTTAGAATATGGTGTAGCAGACTAAGTTTAGAATATGGTGTATCAGACGCTGTTTAGAATAAAGTGTAGCAGACCCAGTTTAGAATATTATGTAGCAGACGCAGTTAAGAATATTGTGAAGCATACCCAGTTTAGAATATAATGTAGCATACCCAGTTTAGAATATGGTGTAACAGACGCAGTTTTAAATATGGTTTAGCAGACCCAGTTTAGAATATGGTATAGCAGACCAAGTTTAGAATATGGTGTAGCACAACCAGTTTTAAATATGGTTTAGCAGACCAAGTTTAGAATATGGTGTAGCAGACCCAGTTTAGAATATGGTATAGCAGACCAAGTTTAGAATATGGTGTAGCAGACCCAGTTTAGACATATGGTGTAGCAGACCCAGTTTAGAATATGGTGTAGCAGACTAAGTTTAGAATATGTTATAGCAGACCAAGTTTAGAATATAGTGTAGCAGACCTAGTGTAGAATATGGTGTAGCACAACCAGTTCAGGATATGGTGTAGCGGACCCAGTTTAGAATATGGTGTAGCAGACCCAGTCTAGAATATAAGGTAGCAGACCCAGCTTAAATTATGGTGTAGCAGACCCAGTTTAAATTATGGTTTAGCAGACCCAGTTTAAATTATGGTTTAGCAGACCCAGTTTAGAATATATTCCTAAAAGTTAGAGCTGGCGGTTCTCCCTTCACTTCACACTTTAACTTCAAACCTTCCCCGACCTCTTTGGTCACGTTTCTGAGGTCACGGACAAAGGTTAAGCTGGAGGCTGGGTCAGGTGACTCTGTGGTCTCGAGGTCACAGAGTACAGAGGTCAGCTGGAGCCAGGTCATCAACCACAGTACACAGATCATTCTGGATTCTTTACTAAACAAAATGCTGATTAAAAATTAATATTAAAAATTTAATCAATTTTAAAATCAGTTCGTGACAAAGACTCAATTTTTTGCGTATTTTTCTCAGAATTGCTGTCTTCAACATAAGGTGGAAAATGATCGGTAAATTAAAGAGATTAAATCCTAATAAATAAAATGTTTCTAAATGAAGTGGACTTACACTTAATATACGATTTTTAGTTAATCTTGCACTTTAATTAATATCCTATTTTTGTTTCACGCAAAACTGGAATGAATACTATTCATAGAAAGAATAAATGGTACTAAAGTATAATCTGTAAAAATTTCAATAAATGAAAAATATTTACTTCCCCTTTTCAAATGAAGTCTCTTTTAAGCTCAAATCAAGCTGCAAATCACTATTCTCAAGATCAATTTAACAATTTAAGCTGGGATCAATTTAACAATTTAAGCTGGGATCAATTTAACAATTTAAGCTGGGCTGAAAACTTTTAATTTATTAAATTGCTTAAATAGCTGCGAACTCAGTGGATTATAAACGTAAAACTAACTTTTAACTTTTTTTTTACTTATTAATTCAATTTTCTGATTTGTCTTGCTTATTTGTTGTTTAAAAATGTCATAACGAATGCACTGAATTTTTTGTGAAAGATTATGGCACCAGTATACAAGGATTCAAAATTTCCTTACATCAAAATAATGTTTTTTATAATTCACCATGAAAAGGGAATAATGATTAACTGTTATGGTGTTCGTGTATTTGTTTACAAATATTTTTAATTGTTTAATTTAATAGCTATCTGTCCATTTACAAATATACAAATTATCTATCAATCTATCCATCTTGTATCTATCTTCATATTTATATATCTATATATCTTTCCAACGTTCTATCTATCTATCTTTAAATCTATCGATCTATCTATCTTTAAATCTATCGATCTATCTATCTCTATTCTCCTCCCCCTGATCTATCATGGTTTTTATCCTGACTCTTCTTGGATAGACTCCTCTTGACCTGGAAACTTAAAGAGACCATACCCGCCACACTTTTCAAACAGGGGGGGGGGGGGTGGAAGGTTAGCTCACGCCACCCCCCTTTCTGTACTGCAGTGTTTAAAAATACAATTCTATAAAAAATGTAAAAATAAACTGGGACTGAAATTTAAGTTTTACCCATAAAAAAATTATATATTTGTCACTTTTTGTACTTAAAACAATTCGTGGATTCCTTGTTTACATTTTCATGCCTTTGTGTATATATATTATATAATCTTAATTTACTGTAAAAATATATTTATTGTCTACTCCTGTAAAAGAATGCGTCTATATATATATAATATATTTGGATTGTCTAGTGGTAACTTGTATTTAATAATTAGGTCCAAATTTTGTGTGGTAACTCACATGTTTAAGGTTTATGTTAATTTTATTATTTTTATTTTAATTCTACTCTAAAAATCCAAATCTAGGTATAGTATATATTGCAGTTTATGTAAACTTTCAACAATAAATAACCAACTTTATTTCACCAACTTTTTATACTTTAATTTCTTTACCTGTCCAAACTTAATTTTTAGAAAACTATTTTTCAGTTTTCATCTCTCGAGTTTTCAACAAGATTGTTTTCTGCTGTTTTTTTCTTCCCTTGGCATTTTCATCTGAAAATAAATTTAATAAAGAATATGATTCAAATATTTTTTAATTTGAGAATTTTGTAGAAATGCTTTCAAATCAGAAATTCTTTTATTCCGTTGATTTGCATGTAATAAGATGCTTCTCTAGGAGGTTTCCAGGAAAAAAATTAGAAAGAGAGAAAGTTAGAAAAAGAAAGAGTGAAAAAGTTGTAAATAGTTTAAGAAAGTGAGTTAGATACCAGTTCGATTAATTTACAAACATTATCAGTAAAAAAATGTCTAGAATAATTTAATCACGCACCCCTGACCCTTTAGTTAAAGTAAATTCAACCTAAAGTCTGACCGCGTCAACCTTGTTGCACCGGCTAGTCCTATTGAGTGTCTGCTTTATATACCCAATGTCCGGGCGATAAAGTACAAACTGGGACCGGAAAGGTTGAACCTGCTCGGAAATTCAAATGTACTACGGCTGCCCGTGTAATATCATGATTAGCCTCCCTTCCTTTCTTTTCTCTGTGGTTATATTAAATCAATCCCCCCCCTTAATCCAATCTAATGCAAAACGACTGAATTCCGCGAATGTTTTTGCGGATTTTCAAGGACCCGTCCAGGCCGATTCTAGGATTAGAACCGACTTTTATAGAACATCTTAACAATGGAATTTAGGCCTCGCACATAAAGTAAAGTATTCAAATACAAGATAGAAGATATATATCCCACATTTTCCCTTCTTTACGACCTTAGTAAAATGAGAAAAAACTTTAATTCAATATTTTATAAAAAAAAAATCTGGCGTTTTTTAAAATGTCCGAAAATGAAGAAAGATTCGAACAGAGCTACAATTAATTACTCAAACAAAAATCTCCTTTGTATCTAACAAAATTCCTTACTATCAGCTCCGATAGTATAGGGTTAGTGATAACAGAAATATGATTATGTTTGAAATGGGATTTTGTCTGGTGAAATCTACAGGGGGAACCAGGAAAAAGCATTGATCCTCAGATTAAAGGGTTTCCACATTGGATATTATGATCAAGAGTTCAAAGATTAAAAATATCCACACAAAAGTTCGAATCTTAAATTTCGAAGAACAGCATTTAATAAAAATTTGATCTTCAATGACTTGCAGAGACTCAAAATGGCGATTTTTGACGGTTATCAGAAAAATATTTTAAAAACATAATGCAGTTTTTTTTGGAGGACCTGTACAGTATCTAATATCCCTTGGTAGGTTATTCTGATCCAATACCATCGGTAGAAAGAGGATTTATAGAATTCACACTTTTTGCGGTTTTAATTGAATGTACGTATTGAGGCGGGATAAATCAAATTCTTCAATATAAAGGACCCCAGGACCAGGAGAAGGGGGAGGGTTGAGGGGAAAGGGGAGGGAAAATGGGGAGGGGGAAGGGGGAAGGGGAAGTGGAAAGGAATTTCGAAGTAAAAGTATTAGGTTAGAAGGCATGAAAGGGAATAACGGACAAAACTTAAAATTATAAAAAAGAATTTTTTTAAATGAAGCACAGTTTATATAGTTCTCGTTTCCGCTTCATTTAGACACATTTTTAATATTTTACACTCATGTTTTTTGTTTAATTAGCACCCTAATATAGGAAAATATTTTAAACACCTTGGATAGGAACTGTGATACACCCTAGCCTGGGTAGGGATTATGAAACACACTAGCCCAGGAAGGAATTATGAAACACCCTAGCCTAGGTAGGGATTATGAAACATCCTAGCCTTGGTAGGGATTATGAAACACCCTAGCCTGGGTAGGGATTATGAAACACCCTAGCCTGGGTAGGGATTTTGAAACACCCGAGCCAGGGTAGGGATTATCAAACACCCTAGCCTTGGTAGGGATTATGAAACACCATAGCCTGGGAAGGGATTATGAAACACCCTAGCCTTGGTAGGGATTATGAAACACCATAGCCTGGATAGAGATTATGAAACACCATAGCCTGGGTAGAGATTATGAAACACCCTAGCCTTGGTAGGGATTATGAAACACCCTAGCATGGGTAGGGGTTATGAAACACCCTAGCCTGGGTAGGGATTATGAAACACCCTAGCCTGGGTAGAGATTATGAAACACCCTAGCCTTGGTAGGGATTATGAAACACCCTAGCCTGGGTAGGGATTATGAAACACCCTAGCCTGGGTAGGGATAATAAAACACCCTAGCATAGGTAGGGATTATGAAACACTCTAGCCTGGGTGGGGATTATGAAACACCCTAGCATGGGTAGGCATTATGAAACACCCTAGCCTGGGTAGGGATTTTGAAACACCCTAGATCGGAACGCCCTATCCCGAGAGAATGGATTTGAAGATGAATTGAAAGGAAATGATGGAATTAGAAGACACCTAATTAATATGGAAATATAATCTGTAGGAAGTTAGAATCACACATGGGAAGGAAAAGGGAAATTCTAGATTTTTATTCCAGATCTGAAATCTACCGTTTTACTTAAATAAGAATGAGAATAAATGCTCTGTATCTGTATCTGTATCTGTATCTGTATCTGTATCTGTATCTGTACCTGTATCTGTATCTGTATCTGTATCTGTATCTGTATCTTTATCTGTATTTTAATCTGTATCTCTATCTGTATTAAAAAAGTAGCTCTAAGAAAAAAATTAAAAAATTTGTTTTCGAGAATAAAAAGTGTATAATTTATTATTAAATAACAGTATTCTATATTTCAAATTATAAATATTCAAAAATTTATTCGTAACGAATGAAAGCAATATAAATATTTTTAAGTATATTGATTTTATGAAATATTTTTCTTTTAAACGATTAAGCTCGTTTAAAATATACATATTTTTCAAAATTCGGCGTACAGGAAGTTAAATATGTAAATAGAATACCCTTAAAATCAAACCCTGTGCGAAAATATTTCGAGTTTGTTTATTATTTTGTCCCTCTGTTATTTTTTGGGGGGTGGAAATTGACTTATTTTTTTGGATGTTTTGAGTAGAATATAGTTTTTAAATAGCGAAATGATTGTCTAGAAGACTAGAAGACCCGTACATACAAATACGTACACTGATAAACAAGCACACAATAATAGATTTGACAAAAATTATAAATGCTAAGTATCCTCTCAATATAAGGATTAGGTTAGGAATAAAAAGACAAATTAAATATTATTTTCCACCCAAGAATTCTGCAGGACTGGTTTCATTTTAAAAATAAGAAAAGCTCAAGGGAAAAGAAAAATCAGCAGTATAATTCGGAAAATAAGAATTTATAAAATTGTTAAATAGAAAACTAATCTTAAAGGGACTGTACAGGAAAAATGAAACCTGAGAATCTCAGGAGTTGAACGATTACTTTAAGACATCTATCTGATGTTCCTGTCTCGAGAAATTGATATAAAACTCTCTCAATTTTTTACGAAAATTCATATATATGCAATTTTGTATTAAAGTTGAAGTATCAAACAGATCATCTATATTATAATAAAACAAGACATTCGTATATATATATATGTTGCCTATAGCCGGCCAAACGGCTACACCGACTGGGCTGAATTTTTTTGTGGACACTCATGGGTGGCAGAAGGGTGTTATAGGCTAAAAAAATCGGAATTTTTTGCAATATTTTTTTCACCGGGCCCTATAGCTAGTGTTCAAGAAATACGCAACCAATCTGAAAACGACGATATCCCACAGGAGCCTGAGAATCTCAGGTTTGCTCCTTTTATAATTTTTATTTTGCATTTTTAATAGATATAGTTGATAAAATTATTGTATATAGTCCGTATAGTCCGTAATATGTCACCAGAACTTCAGCCAATGGCAGTGCAGTATACTGGTCATGTGATGTCCGTCTGTATCAAGTGACAACGATACTTCACTGCCATTGGCTGAAGTTCTGGTGACGTAATACGGACTATACGGACTATATGTAATTATATTATCAATTATATCTATTAAAAATGCAAAATTAAAATTAAAAAATTAAATAGAAGCAAATCTGAGATTCTCAGGCTCCTGTGGGATATCTTCGTTTTCAGATTGGTTGCGTATTTGTTGAATATTAACTATCAATTTCTCGAGACAGGAACATCAGATAGATGTTGTATATGTATTGTTTACTGCCAGAGGTTCTCAGGTTTCATCCTATATATACCCTCTTTCATTTTTCCTTTACAGTCCCTTTAAATGTTTAAATCTTAATAAAAAGCAGATTTATTGAGCATCAATCAAAATAGTAAAAAAATATATCAGTGAACTTTGCTCCTTATAAATTGTTACATCCCATAAATTGTATCTATTGTATTCTAAATACTCTATTCTATGCAAATCAGGATAGATAGATAGATAGATAGATAGATAGATAGATATTAGATATAGATAGATAGATATAAAATACATAGATAGATTGATAGTTGGATAGATAGATAGATAACTGGATCCGGGTCCTAGTTCCGTCCTTTAAAAATGGATCAGAATCCTTGATCTGTCCATTTTTCTTAAAAACTGATTAGAAACCGGATACATCATTGATCATTGTTGAATTTCTTATATAACATCATTGATCATTGTTGAGTTTCTTACATAACATCATTGATCATTGTTGAATTTCTTATATAACATCATTGATCATTATTGAGTTTCTTAAATAACATCATTGATCATTGTTGAATTTCTTATATAACATCATTGATCATTGTTGAGTTTCTTACATAACATCATTGATCATTGTTGAATTTCTTACATAACATCATTGATCATTGTTGAATTTCTTTCATAACATCATTGATCATTGTTGAATTTCTTACATACATCATTGATCATTGATGAATTTCTTATATAACATCATTGATCATTGTTGAGTTTCTTACATAACATTATTGATCATTGTTGAATTTCTTACATAACATCATTGATCATTGTTGAATTTCTTACAGCATAATTTATCATTGTTGAGTTTCGTACATAAGCTCATTTTACTTTTTGGTCTTACTAGTGAGTTGTGATCATAGAGAATAGAATATATAGA